GGAAGAATGAGAAACTTTTCTTTCATTTTTTTCTTCTTCCATAAATTTTTCTTTGGTTAGGTTTCTCTCATTGTAGTGATTCACATTTGGACTCAACATCTGCTTCATGAGGGAAGCCTAGTAACTTTGAAGTAGCCTATTGATCCCAGGGGATGCCTTTTGTAGGTCTTTGTTAACTTCCATCCATTGTTAAATATTTCCTGGCATTGAGAAGATGAAAAAAATATTGCTGTTTTTCTACCATTAGTAGTTCTTGTCTTCTCAAGTTATTTTTTTTGCCTTACATTAGAAAATAAATGCCCTGTCTCAATAGAGGAGGAACATATAGTGTTGTAAATATATATGGACAAAACAACAAAACCCCAAATTACATAAAGCAGAAATTAACAGAATTGAAAGAAGAAATATACAGATCCACAATTACAGCTGAGGACTTCAGTGTTTTTTCTTCATGGTCAGGAAATCAACTATGATAAATGAGACATGAACAATAATGTCAATCAACTTGATATAATTGGCATCTACAGAGTACTTTACCAAACGATAGCAGAATGCATATTTTTCATAAATGCACATGGGACACTCTTCAGAATATACTGTATGCGAAGCCATACAATAAGTATCAAAGTTAAAAGAATTGAAATTATTATACAACATATGACCAAATGGAATTAAATTAGAAATCAATAACTGAAGGAAATATGGAAATCCACAGATGTATGGAAATTAAGCAACACACTTCTAAAAAACTTTGTATCAAAGCAGAAATCACAAGGAAATTAGAAAATACTTAAACTGAATGAAAATAAAAACAATATGGCAAAATTATATGACGCAGCCCAAAGTAGTTCTTGGAGAGAGATAGCTTCAAATGCTTATATTTAAAAAGATGAAAGATCTAAAGTCATTTATCTGAATTTCTACTTTTCGAAGCTAGAAATAGAGCAAATTAGACTCAAAACAAGTTTAAAAAAGGAAATTACAAAAATCAGAGCAGAAATCAATGAAGTAGTAAAGGAGAAATAGTAGGGAAAATCAGTGAGTCCAAAATCTGATTCTCTGCAAAGATCAATAAAATGGATAAATCTAAATGTCAAGATCTCAGCTGAATTGAGAGAGAGGGAACTGAGTCGCTAGGAGTTGGAGTAGCTGATTAAAGCAATAAGCCAAAAACGAGAGTTAAGCCTTTAATTACTTAATGTGATGGTGTAAGCAAGGGGCCAAAACCAGAGAAAACACTGACCCCCCCCTATTCAATTTACCATGATGGAATGGACTGACACATCCATTCAGGATCAAGTAGATCAGTGCAGATTTGGGAGTCCATTGAGGGAGCCCCAGACAAAGAATCTGGCAATTTTTCTGTACTCTGAGGTGGAAGAAAGGAGAGAGATAGGATGGGGAAAGTACTGGGTACTGAGTCAGAGTGGGAAGTGTCTTTAAGGTTTCCCCTTCTTTCCATAAGGTAGCCTTGTCAGAGAGACCAGAGAGACCCTTGCCCAAGGCCTCAGATAAAGAGGCCTGGAATAAAAGCACCAGGGCTAGGAATGTAAATATATGAGAGCATGACTGGCCAGGGGGGCCTGGGGTCTTGACTCCAAATCTCTTCAGAGATTGTGATGCCTTGGCTCTGTACCAAGTGTGTAGGGAGGGTAGTTTTCACTTGTGTGTCCTGCAAAGTAAATCCTTTTTAATTGCCTTAATTAGGCCTAAAAAGTCATGCATAGGTTTTTAACTAAGAGACAGAATCTTCACTATATTGATAAGAAAACAAAGAGAGAAAGTAAAAATTACCAGTATCAGGAGTGAAGGAGGAAGCATCCGTACAGAATCAAAAATAACATTTGCCAAAAAATTTGATAACGTATATTCAATGGACAAATTCCTTGAAAGATACAAATTACTAAAACTGACTCAAAAATAAATAGAAAATCTTGAGTAGCTCTATATCAAGTAAGAAAATTTATTTTAGTTATTAAACTTTTATAATTATTATCTTTCTATAAAAGAAAAGCCAAGAACTTTATACCAACAATGATGATAATATGGTGGATTTTATGACACATTTAAGGAAGAAATTATATCAATACTATACAAATTCAGAAAAAAAGAGGAAGAAGGAACTCTCCAAATTCATTTTATGAGGCCAGTTTTACCTTGATAATTCAAACCAGACATCAAGAGAAAAAAAAATCTGTAATTCCATCTTTCTCATGAACATAGAAGTAAAAGCCTTAACAAAATATTAGCAATAGAAAGAAAATACACCTTGACCAACTGGATTTATCTTAGGAATGCATAGTTGGTTCAATACAAATAATTAATTTAATTTACCATAATAAGAGATTAGTTTTTTGTTTTTTGTTTTTTAGGCATATGATCATCTCAGTAGTCAAAGAAAAAACATTTGACAAAATCCAGCACTCTTTCATGGCAAAAACATTGAAGAACAAAGAATATGAGAGAATTTCCTTAACTTGATAAAGGGCATCTATGAAAAACCTATAGCTAACATCATACTTAATAGTGAAAGATAGAAAGCTTGCCCCCTTAGATCAGGGACAAGGCAGGGATGGCTGCCCTCATCTCTTCTTTTCAGCATTGTATTAGGGATTCAAAAAAGCAGGCAAAAAAGAAATAAAAGGCATCTAGATTGGAAAAGAAAAGGTAAAACACTTTCTCTTTGCAAATTAGATAATCTCGTATGTGGAAAATCATAAGGAATCTCCAAAAAAACTGTTAGAGCTCATGAATCAGTTCAGCAAGGTTGTAGAATACATGATAAATGTACAAAGAAAAAAAATCAGCTGTACTTCTATGCACTAGCAGTGAGCAATCTGAAAATGAAATTAAGAAAATTTCATTTATAATAGGGCGATGAAAATATTCTGGATTTAGATGGTGGTGACAGTTGCACAATTTTGTAAATGTACCAAACCCCACTGACATATACTTTTAAAAGGTAGATTTTTTAGTATATGAATTTTATCTCAATTTAAAAATATATTGAGAAAGGACTTGCATCTAGAATTTATCAAGAATTCTTATAACTCGATAAAACAAAAAACAAAGTGGGCAAAAAATTCAAACAGGCACTTCTCATAAGAATATATATGAATGATTAAAACAAGTACATGGAAAGGTGTTCAACATCATTGTTGATTAGAAGAGTACAAATTTATGTCACAAGTATTGATGAGGAGTTGGGAATGTCTGAAACTCATTCATTGCTGGTGAAATGCAAAATGGTATATTAAAACTTGGAAAAAATTTGGCAGTTTCTATAAAAAATTAAGCATACACTTACTATATAACACAGTATCTACCAAAAGAAATGAAAGCCTATATCCACATAAATACTTTTAAATGAATGTTCATAACAACCTAATTTATAGTAGTCAAAACTGGAAACAACTCAGAAGTTCGTCAATAAGTGAATGCATGAACAAAATGTGGTATATCCACATAGTGGAATACTATTCAGTAATAAAAAGGAAGAGACTACTGATACACACCATAACATGAATGAATTTAAAAATATTACACTAAGTGAAAGAGGCCAGGCACAAAAGACTGCATACTGTAATTTTATATGAAATTCTTAAAAAATCCAAAACTGTAATGGCAGAAAGCACATCAGTGGTTGCTTGGGGCTAGGAGAAGGGGCTGGAATTGATTGCATAGGGACACAAAGGAATTTTTTGGAGGAATGAAATTGTTCTAAAATTTTATCATAGCAATGGTTATATGGTTGTACATGTACCAGAATTCATTAGACTACATTTAAGTTTGGTGCATTTTATGGTTATGTAAATTATAACTCATTGAAGTTGTTTTTAAAAATGTTTTCTTCATGTAGCTATATAAATGGAGTTGTGGCCTCATTTCTAGAGATATTAAAAATTAACATTTTTTTAAAGTCTGCATATCATTTTGCTTTTTCATTTTTATTTCATCTTTATAGCATATTTCAGAATTTTGTACTTAATCTACATAATTTAGTTCAGTTTTGTAAACAGATGTTTATTGAATTTCTACAATATGCCAAGCACTGAGAGGACAGAGCTCTTACTCCCAGGGACTACTCCTGCTGTCTCGTAGGAAAGGCTAATTTATTTTTAAAGTAACTAATAGAAAATATCCAAGAACGGAAGTGTTTACAAGGTGTGGAAAGATTAATTTTATCTCAGTAGAGCTGGGCAGTCTAAGGTCTCATTAAGTGGGCTCAGAGGAGGCTTTCCTGGGAAAATGGAATTTGAACGATGATAAGAATCGCTCCAGTGGATAGAGAAAAGTAGACATACTAGCATCCTAAATGGTTTTTCAGTTGAATAAAGAGGGATTAGGAAGTACATTTGGTGTTTATAAGACTAACATACCTTAAAAATCAACTTTCAGTACGTGAGTCCTTTTGGGTAACTGATTTCTCTGGTTCTCTTATTACTGGGTAGAGCTTCCGATTGCTTGGCACTTAGATCTCTGAAGTTTGTTTGTTTGTTTGTTTGTTTTTAAACTCCACTTCCTTTTAAAACTGACTTTGTTTCACACTCATCCAGGATCGAGACAAATTATGTATTTAGTACTGCCTCTGGTGAAGTCCATCCTTTTCTGTTTTTCTTCTTCATCTGCAATGACAGCCTACCTCTTTTTAACCAAAAGTCATTTTCCCTTTGCCCCAAATTAACATTTGCTTTCATAGAGTTACTAGGTTCTATAGACTGTGTTCATCAGATATGTAGCAACACTATTTAAAAAATAAATGTATAAAAGAAGCAGATGCTGTGGCACTAAGGTGTTAAATTCTAAGGGGATATTTGGATATAGCAGCTAGAAGCCTTTGTCTCTCGTCTTTGCTCCTCCTACTCCTTTTACTTTTCTTTAGTTGACTGTTAGTTTTTCTTACTATCCAAAAGTAATTGATGAGGATGACATTTAAAATATCTATAATGAGAATATTCTTGATGCAATGTCTTAAGAATTTTCTATTTCATGTCTAAAAGGAAGAAGAAGAATTTTCAGTTCTTTCCAGCTGCCTGGGACTTCTGCCAACATTTTACCAAACAGAACATCCATTTATCAGTGCCTCCTGTCTGGATTGGTCAGTTCCAGCATTTGATATTATATCTCAATGGTGTTTTGAGATAAATTCATTTACTGAAAGACATGCAGAACAAGGAAAGGTATGTAAAAAGAATAACACTAATTTGCCAAAATGATGATGTGCTAATAGGTAAGAGAATAATGAAGAATTTGAAATGCCAGGTCATTTGTTCTTGGCAGCATTTATTTAATTATATTGAAAAAAAAAATGGTTTACTTATATAATATTTATGAGTGTGTCAATAGAAATATTTCTAAATTTTATCTGAATGGATAAAACTAAGCTCTTAGTATGCCACTTTTAGTTTTTTTAGGCTGTCAGGTTTTTATTGAATACCTTAAATATTAGCATCAGACTTGGAAGATACAAAGGAATTTTAAGGTAGATAAGGAGTCTATAAGCTTAACTAGAAAGAGAACTGTCACATAAAAATCAAAGATTTGGAATAGCAGACCTAAAGGTCATGTTTTTAAAATTTGCTGGGCCAGTGCTGCCAGCTCAGCTGGCAAAAGGTTTTGTATTGGAGACAAGTGAAATGGAAAGGCAGAGTGGGGACAGTGGTGAGTGGCTCTGAATGCCATGGTTTGGTGCTCAGACTTTCTTCTACAGCTAGAACTACAATTTTTGTAAATAATATGATGAAAGTAGTATTTTATAGAGGTAATCTGGTGGCTTTTTAGTAGGTAAATTGAAGTAAGGAGAGAGGGAAACCAGAGATGATTATTTAGGTGGTAAAGAAAATCTGGACTATTCTAATAGTAGAAATCAGAATGCAACCAATGCAAGGGACATTTGAAAAAAATATGTAAGACTTGGTCACCAGATATACATGACTTTAAGATCTTGCACTTAAATCATTAGAAGAATAGTAGCTAGTATAGAGTTCCTATCAGAGAGTTCTGATAGGAACCTGTTCCTGCTTAAACACCATTGATAAGGACTCCTTGCATGGCATTCTAGGATTTTCACCATCTCACGTAACTTTTTACTTCATTTTGTACTACTCCCCTGCCCACTGCCTTGTTCAAACCACATAAGAGTATTTCTTTCTAAGTGTGCTATATATTTTCGAACATCTATGCTATTGCTTATTACTGTTACTTTTATCTTACCCTTCTCCTGTTGTATTAATCACCAATCTAGGCTTTGCTAAGATAAATGTTACCTCTTTATAAATCTTTGTCTGATAGTCCATCTTATTCTACAGTCCTGATCCCTTCCCTCTGTTGTGCTGTATGAGAATAGTTTCGCCACTTTCTCTTAAGTCGCCATATTTATCACTTTGTTTATTGTGTCAACTGTGGCTCCACAAAGCAAAAATTATTTCTTATTTATTCTTGAATCCCTAGTTCCTGTAAAGTGCCTGATGTAGACTAGTCACCTAATAAATATTGGTGGAACAGTTAGGTGGATTGGTAGAAATAGAATTGATGAGAGGGGAGCCAAGTTTCAGGGGAAATGAGAATTTTAATTTTAACATCAAAAGGACAATAACAAATTAGTATTTCAGATGACTGAGTCAGGCGAGATTTAATTTTTAAAAATTTGAAGTGAATAATAAGGTAAGGTAAACATAAATAATAAATGTCTCTACTTTTGTTCAGTTCTATATTTTTGTTGAAGTTTTTAAAGAGATAATATCTCATTTTATACCTTTTTTTTAAAGGAAAGGGAAATTCAAGAAGTTAATTGAACCTTGGATATTACGTATAAAAATCCTTTTTTCCTGTCTAGTAGTTTATTCAGATTATAACTAGAATCTGAATTATATTTTGATGTTTGAAAACCTTCGAGGAATGATTTGGAGTAAGAAATGGACATAATTATAGAACCAGGACAGGAGAAAAAAAGATGAGCATACTTAAATTGTTTTGTCTTTATATGAGCCATTGGTTAAGCAATGGATGAAAATTAACTTATTTTATAGTGTAAGAGCAAGCCTATATTTTAGATGAATGATTATTGGTGTGGAAATTGATGGAAAATAGGTGTTTTTTCTATAGCTGGTGTTTTCTTCCAGCTGGTGCCAAATAAAATTCATCAGCAAAGTAGCTTATCATTTAAAAGACCAGTATTTTTTTCAGATGATTGAGTACATGTTAAGATCAGTTAATTTCATAGACATCCACCTATTGCCTCATAGCTTTCTTTTTGAAGAAAACTCTGTGGTTGGAGGCTATGTAATGTGGGCTACTGGAGAATTTACAGCCTAATCTAGATAAGTATCAAGTTCAGTGAGGACAAATTTCTGTTCCTTCCACTGATGGAAGAATTCCAATATAGTCAGCTCATTAAAGAATATGCAATGTTTTGAGCCAGGGTTGGGCACTGACTCAAAAATACATATTGTAAGCCGACATTGTCCTTATTCCTGCTTCCATGACCACTTTATCCATTAACTTATTGATAAACACCAAGTTAGCTACTTAATTACTGCATTGATTTAGATGAGTTATAGCTTTAGATAATGTGAAATGATCAACATATGAGTTGCCTGCCATCATACAGCATTTTAAGATAATATTCATACTACATTTTATTTATGTGTAAATGGAGTAGCATCTAGAAAAAAATTAGTGCTATTATCAACATTTTTATATACCTGAAAATAATAATTAAAGTGTACCCTGCAGGGAAATTGAACTAATTTGGTATTTTTTTCCCATGCTTAAGCAGAATATTTATGAAGAGTTGTAGCCCCAGCACTTATGGATATGAAAGGTCTTAGTTTGAGGAAGGAGACTCTGGATTATAAAGTATTGAAATAGAAATAAGAGTTAAAACTGTGACCTTTCTTAAAGAAAAAGCTAATGAATTGTTTGTTTATCTGAGAAAGGTAAAAACTTGGTTTTTAAAACTGTGAACTGTTTAAAATTTTGCATTAAGCAAATAAGTCACGTTTTTACAGACAGTTTTCTCATTCTTTAAAGAAAATCCTTTTAAAGAATAAGTATTTTGCCTTACTGTCTTAAATACATAGGACTAATGAATATTTATGGATAACGTTTTAGGCCTTGCTTATCCAAGAGTCAAGATGGAAATTACCACACCTACTGCAGTTGCCTGAGAATTATAACACCATTTTCCAGTACTATCACAGAAAAACCTGTAGTGTCTGCACCAAGGTTCCTAAAGATCCTGCCGTTTGCCTTGTTTGTGGTACTTTTGTATGCCTGAAAGGACTTTGCTGCAAGCAACAAAGTTACTGTGAATGTGTATTGGTAAGCAGTTGTAAATAATATAAAATTTATGAAACTCACGTGGAAATGTGGTATTTATAGGGTCAAGCCTGCTCTTCAAGTTTAACTACTCTTTGAATAAAATGAACAATACATATAAAGGTTTTGTTCTTTTTTCGTTCTAGTTTTTTTGTTTGTTTTTCTTTTTAATCCAGTGGAAGGGTTAAAAAAAACACCTGAGGCTTTAAATAAAACCTTTTTTAAGTCTAATTTACTTCCTCTCCTTACTCCTACTGCCCTTTAATGATACATACTTTTTTAAATGCCGGTGCTATGAAACAACAGTTGTATATGCTATTAGGTTGGCTTTTAAATACATCTTTAGATAATCTTTACCCAGATTCCTCTTAATGTATTATTAATAAAGTGTTAGAAATGAGATTGTAAATTTAACTTAGATGAAATCTTATTAAAATTTGAAAAAATATTTGTTTTACATAGAAGAAATTTACATAAGGGATCTTATAAAGTCCATGTGATTATGAAGTTAATTGATATATTTTTAATGTTTTAGCATTCTCAGAACTGTGGAGCCGGAACAGGGATTTTTCTTTTGATCAATGCATCAGTGATTATCATCATTCGAGGCCACCGCTTCTGCCTCTGGGGTTCTGTGTATTTGGATGCCCATGGAGAGGAAGACCGGGATCTTAGGTTAGATGTGCATACACTTATCTGGGTGTTTTATGAAGTTTGGTCAGTGAGAACAATGTGCCATTTCTGGCATTGAAATGATAATACTTGTTAATTTTTATATTAAGAAATCCTGAGTCATTAGAGCTATTTCTAGTTTTTGAGATATTTTCCTCATCAACATGCTAAGGGAACATGAAATAATCCAAATTACTATGTGAAATTTTTGCCATGAGGAATTTATTTTTTAAAAATGTGAAATCTTCATTATATTTTATTACTTTTAATACTTTTTCCCTCTTTTTATTTCTAGGCGAGGCAAGCCTCTCTACATCTGTAAGGAAAGATACAAAGTTCTTGAACAACAGTGGATTTCTCATACTTTTGATCACATCAATAAAAGATGGGGTCCACATTACAATGGGCTGTGACTCACCACCTCAGCATTGCATTATATCGTCATTTTCATTAAGAATTTATCAACAATAAGCTTTAACTTAATTTGGGAGATTAACGCTTTTGCTGAAGGAAAAAAAGAAAACATGTTATAAAGTCTTTCCAAAATTAGGTGCTTGGTAATCACATTAATGGTATAAAATTTTTTTAAAAAGTATCTGGAGATCATAACAAGTAAAAAGTTAAATCATTCTTTCGTTATTTCCTTTTTTAAAAAATCTCCAATTAATAAGCACAACTTGACAAAATTATTTAAAACGGATTCTCCCAGCAATCCATATCAGTTGTTCATTGATCGAGTGGGTGTGATTTATTTAAAGTTTTACTGCTTCTTTATATCTGTGTGTTTTAATTTGCATCTGCTAAACATAATGCACCTTTTCCCTCCTCCATTCTTGTGTTGATTTGAGATATTTGCTGTATGTAATTAGAAAAAAATGTAAAACATGATTTATGTGAAATATTGTATAGTAAAAGTTGGTCTAATAGTAGAACTTTAAAATTTTTTCTTATTGTGAGGAATCTGTTAAAAGTTTAAGGCTTTGCTGAAAACTTAATTCATTCTCAGGAATTTCATAAATATTCTCCCCAGGTAAATAATTGAAATAGTTGTAAAATAAGTAGATAGCTGCTGTTAATATGATACAGTACATTTTGGGAGACGTGTGTGGTTGGGGGAGTCCTTAAAAATCAGAATTTCCATTTCAGTTGGATGAATTAATAGAAGTAGTAACAAATAGATTTTACTATAAAATCAAAAGTTTTAAGAGCAAACACGTGGCATATTTTGATTCTGCGCATGTCTACCTTTTATTACCAACCAAGTTTTTGTTTAAATGACTGGACTGAAAATGCTCAGACTTCCCCACAAATGAAGCATAGTTTTGGAACTTTCCTATCAGCTCAAAAGGTTCATCCATAATGTATTTGTGCAATGTAATCACTGCAATTTCTGCTTGGTTTCCTAAAGCGGAGGGCGGGGGATGGCTCAGTGGTGATGACCCTCATGAATGAGCCATGCATCTGCATTCTTCTTAGAAGCTGCTGTGAAAAGCAATTCGTGTTTGTAGGGTTTTTAAATCAGGAAGAATGGGAATGA